ATTATTTATTTACCAGTGTGCCGTACATAGCGGGTTCGGGTTCAGTAAGGACGTCTCTGGCGACGGTGATGATTATATTTTGGTTAAAAAATTTGGGAAGTGCATTTTAATGATGAACAAAAACAAAAGGTGTTTTCAACAATCTTTTATACGTTATGTCTTCACATCACAATTTAAAGTAAAATAAAACCAGATTTACGTCAAATGATTTTTATTTTCAATAATAATTAAGGTATAGAAGTAATTTTTAAAAGTTTTATTACAGTTATTCAATTATACTAATATTATAAATGCGAAAGTTTAGATGGATGTTTGTTAGAGTTTATAGCCTAAACGGCTGAACGAATCTTGATGAAATTTGGCACAGATGGTTTTTTTTAATTCCGCGCCGACGCCACGGGCAAAAGATAGTAATCTTTTAAATATGAATTGAAAGACAAAATTATTTCATAAACATTTATTTTATATAAATGAAATGTTTAACAAAAGCTTAAATAAAAATCTAGTGTTAAAAGCAGAGATTACAGTCGTTTCCTCGTCATTTCCTTTTTGACTTCAGTTTCAAGTTTTTAGTCTTGGATTTCACGATGCCTTTAAATTGTTTCGACGTTATAGCTTTTTTCCTGAAATAAAAAAAAAAAAACTTACTTTCATTCCATAATCAAAAATAGTTAATACGAAAAGTAAAAAAAAGTCTAAAACTGTCTGGATCTCTTATAAAAAGTAAAATAAAATATATTTTAAAATATTCTTAAAATGAAAGACTTCCAAGAAGAAAAGTGGATGGATCATAAGAATTCTTACACCAATAAAACCAATACATTAAGTAAAAAATAAAAATAAAAAAATAAAAAATTATTTATTTAAAACCAATACATTAAACAAAGTTAATTCCTACTTTAGTTCAGCATTGTGATGAGTTGAATAGGTTAGTAAAGTGAAAAGACAAGTAGAATGTTAATCATACTAGTTGTTGCTCGTAACTTCTTCCTTGTCAAATTAATAAATAGTAAAAAAAAACATATCCAATGTTACAGATAACATAGCATTCTATTGGTGAAAGAATTTTTGAAATCGTCCCAATAGTTTTCGAGTTATTTCATTACATACAAAAATAAAAAAAACTTTAACATAGTACAAAGAATAGATTAAATCCAAGATGGCCGTTATTTGTGGTTTAAGATATTTATTTCTCTAAGAATTATATTTAATATGAATATATTGTACCTTTTATTCAAGTTGTTCCTGGAGAGGGGCAGGTAGGCGTAGGGGTCAGGTTTGCCCTTCTTCTT